GAAAAAGCAACATCTCAATGAGAAAATCCCAATATTTAGTTTTGAGGTATGTTGTGGTTTCTGCACGGCCAAAGCAAACCAAGCTGAGCCAAACCAAACCAAAATGTAAGAAGGGAATGCAGTTGGCAATGTAATAGGTTTCTGTATTGTAGTATTGTGGTTGTATAGTGTGAAGGGATAACTTTATACTAAAGAAATATTAGTAGAAGTAGTAATAACTACTGTTACTTAAAATTTTCTATTTTGACATTTTTCTGTTTTTTATTTGCACAAAATCACATCTATTATCTCTTTTTTCATTCTCTATTCTGTATCTGTTTAGCTACGTTTAGGTATAAGAAAAGTTAATTTGAAATTTTAAAAAACAAACAAACAAACATATACTTCAGCAGAAAACGTTAAACACAAGAGCAATTCAAAAGCAAAATCCAGTACGCCCTTTCAGCCAATCAGCACACAGCGTTCAGATGATGTAATTCAAGATGGCAGCAACTCTGTTTAGTCGGAGATTTGATGTCTAAAAGCCAATTATAGTATAATTTTAGCTAAACATCATCCTAAAAGATGGATCATTTGGACATAATTGTAAAACTTGTGATTCTATTTTTGTCAGGCAGTGACAAAAAGAACAAGTCTAAAGGTTTTTCACAGAATATGAGATTTTTTAAGTCATTGTAAGAGCATAATAGTAGTGCAGGAAACTAACCTCCACTGCCTGAAAACACTGTAGAGAGTTTGTCATTTGTCTGTAGTGTCTGTGCAGGAGCTGACCAAGAAAAACTGTATTCTACAATTGAAGGACACTAAAATATTAAAGGATGGAAACAGATTTTTTAAATATATTTTTTAGTCTGGCCAGAGGACATGTCATGATAAGATTGTATGAATTTGTAATTTGCCAATTATTAGGCTTTTGTTATTGTAATTTTCAAAACGGTGGCTCCTTAAATGGCTCCTTGAATGGGTTTGACTCCAAAACATGATTTGTGGATTTATTTATGTATTCACAAAAAAAGAAAAAAAAGGGCAAAAGAGTCTTTTGGTGTTTTTGCCAAAATCTAATTCCAAAGAAGAAATACACTTCAATAAAGTTTAATTTTGTATGTTACCTGTGTTATGTCGAGTTATTTTTACTAAATCAAAACAAGCCCTCCAGTTTGATTGTTGATTGATACTCCACGGGGTGCAGAAAAAACAACACGGTTTCTGAAAATTTCTGAAAGAGCAGAGAATTTTTTTTAAATCTATCTATATCTCTTTGCCTGTGTTTGTTATTGTCAGTTTGGTTTTATCTGGCTCAATCATTATATTTCTCACCCGTACTTGTTTTTCTCTCACTTTTTCCCCTCTTGTTTTGCCCCCCTCTCTCTCGCCTCGTCTCTATCTTCGGTCTCTTGCGTTTGCCCAAGCCTTCCCCCTGGAGGTTAATCCCTCTGGTTTCAAATAGAGATAACCATGGCAACAGGCCACATCTTTCAAGCTTAGGATCTGTAGGACAAAGGCATTGATCAGGATGAAATAGTGTCAGGTGGAAGCACAAAACACACAACAGGCATACATGTATGCACATTTGTGTGTGTGTGTGTGTGTTTGTGTTGGAGGCAGAGAATCCAGTAACCCTGACTTGGCCGCTCAGTCACTCATATTACGCGATGTGAAAATAAACCAAGTTGTTGCCGTTGTCAAATCGACGCTTTGTTAAATCCAACAAATTCCTGTGAAAGTATATTTGGAATGATGACCAAACAGACAGGAAGAACAAAAACAGTAGTGTTTAAGGTAAATAAAACATTAACAGCCATTTTGGATAATTAAATAAGACGTGAGAGATTTAGATTTGGCTTAATGGTCTCTTGTTTCCCATCACTGCGAAACTGTGAGGAGGGAAAACAACTTAAAGTCATCACAGTGCCCTTGAGCAGATTTAACCCCCAAGTCCTCCAGTCAAGCTGCTCGTTGATCTGAGAAAAATGATCCATCCAGGAAGTAGGTATGAATGCGTTTAACAGTGAAATAATACTAGTGAAACCTTTACCACATAATGACAGTGGGGGTTTTTTTTGGTAAAGTATAACACATATTTTCCTCAGTGTACTTTGGACACTCTGATACAGTTATGAGAAATAAGTATTCAAAGTTGTGGTACAAATTTATACTAGATTTTATGTTCCTTTATTTTGATTGCACTGAGGTCAATCTTGCCATCTTACTGCACAGAAATTCATTCACACATACTCACACACATACAGATGCCTGACCTTGATGGTTGGATTGCAGTGAGACAGATGTAGTCAGAGCAGCAGAGTTGATGAAAAAGGTCTTTTATTGAAGTGTAAACCAGTATTCCTCTCCTCCAGGACTTTATAGCCAAGGCCAGCAGAAGGTGTGGGTGGATATGGACAGCTTAACTCTCTGTTATACAGCAAGTCTACCAGCTTGTGTAATTTTTACAAGTGCTGCAAGAGTTCTATGCCCTTGGATGATATGACAGCCTCATTTTCAACCCTGTCTCGCAAAAATTACGTTTCCATACAGCTAAACTCCATTCCCATTTACATTTTGAAAGTAACATGTTTTCTGCCCAGAAGATATGACTTTGACAGAGTGAGAAACACTTCTAGTTTGAAAGAACCACAAAGTCCACATTTGGAGTTTGGAGGCAAAAGTCTGCAACAGGACTTTGACTCAGGGGACTGAGGTTCACATCCAGTGTGGGACTGTTTGTCTTCAGTTTATGTTTGGTTTTTACTTGCTGTTTGGTTAGGATTGTACATTAAAAGTGCTTGGTTAGTTTTACAAAGATATCCTGCTTTGCATTAAAAATGACCCTTTTACAGAATTAGCTACTTGTTCGAAGCTTTAAGTTCCGCCACCAAAACTACTTTGTTTTTAAAATATGTCCCTTTGACAACATGTTTAAAGCACCCCCTTGATTTTCAGGGTGACGAGTTACGCTCCATCTAATATAGGACTGGTTGGTTGAAAAGGAGCAAAAGTAAAACAATCAAATAAATGTTGATTGGAAACATATTTCTAATACATCACAAATAAATGTAATACAGGAGAAAATGTGTTTCCCTCAAAACCAATTTGAGAGTTTAGCTGTAAATGAATGTGATTTTTTGGACATTTAGTCTACAGCAGGTGACAATAAGGTACCTTAAATACTCTCATTCACACTTTTACAAAGACTTCTATTTGTTTTTGAAAATCCCAAAATATCCAAATATATGATACAGTAGATGCATGATAGGATCTATAACAGTGCAATCCTCAGGAATCTTTAAGAACCTTAACTGAGCATTTGTCTTTGACTGTAATTTTCCCTTACAAATTTGCACACAGCAGTTTCCCATGCACTTCACATCTTGGCACGCCCATACGGTATGTAACACGACACAGTGGGAAAAAACACCAACTTTGGTTTGAATCGTGTGCCTCTTTCTGCCCTCGGAGTTGATGTGATTCTTGTGTCTAAGCCAATGCTTCATGTTTTAATCACTGCAGTGCCAAGAGCACAGACCTACTCCTCCCTTGCACTTTTCAAGAACTTTTTTAATTTTGTAGTTTCCTTTTAATTTGTTTTCTCTCTGGCTGTGGCTTTTAACTTCATTTCCCAGTGATTTGTCTGAGGACAAGCCACATACCATTAGAAAAAAAAAAAGGATTCAATAACTTTTAAGAAAAACTTTCTTTATTAATTTTCTCTCTTCTCCCTTATCCGAGAAACTGCTTCCTCAATGATAATCCAGCAATCCAGCAGGCCTTCTGGTTTATTGCATTTGTCTAATGAAATGCTCTGATACAGTCAAGGAGCAGAAGGAGAAGCGTGAGAGAGGAGGCGATGGAAGAGGTAGCGTATGAGTCAGTTCAGTACCTGAACTCAACTTGCTTTTAATCTGTTAGAGTAGTGTTAAGAGCAAGTAGTGCAGGGTCACTGTGGAGGATGCAAACCGAACACCCGTGACTGCAGGCTTTGAGACACGCTCTTGACCACCTGACTACTTCTCATCGACTCTCTCCCCTGCATTTCTTGACATTCTTTAAAGGATTCAGTCCAGTGAAGGAGAAACACCACTGCTGTGCAAAATGGTGACTTTAAAAAGAATCTATAGAGACATGAACCTGTTTATTAGTGTTGCTTAAAAACGCATTGAACTTTATTATTTTAGTTGCGCAATTAGTAGTTTGACTTCAATGAAAACCACATAATATGTATTTGTTTGATTATCAAAGAACGGGTTTGTACGGCACCAAATAACTGAAAACCCAGAAATGCAAGAACATCAGTAGGACTTGGTTTACTTTAGATATGAACAATAATGATGATCTCTATGATTAATAAAAATGGTAGCATTCAACAGCTAATCCATGCTAAATAGTTGTTGGTAAAACATGGTCGGTTTCCAAGAATTGAGAATAATTTTGTGCTTCTTGATCTTTGAATGTTTGTATCTTTATTACCAGTGGCCTTTGTAGCAGACATGTAGTCAGTCAGTTAAAGGTGCAATATGCAAGATTTTCAACTTAAAGGTAGCGTTGATGTGGCAGCTGCAACTCTCTGCTATGTAAAGGTATAATGGCGTAATGGCATCAGTAGAATGAAGTCACCCTCCCCCTGTGCATGTTGTAATCCCAGCTCTTCTGTTCTATGTTTTAGCAGCTGGTCCGGCCATGCATGCATGTTGGTGCACATCAGTGCATGTGAAGCTGTTGGCCCTCCCCGTGTTAAACAGACTGATAATAACTTCCCAAACTACACTGGCACAACAAAAGTGCAGTCCAGCATTCAGCCAGTGCCCCAACAGTCAAAAAATTTAGAAACAAACATTTTGTTTATGTTATTTACCTAATTTCTGTGCAAACAACATGTAATTTATGTTGTTTCATTTCAGCTCAGTGTGAGCGTCTCTACTGCTGTTTTGAGGCTCTCGTCTGCTACTCCTTCTCCCCTCATGTCTGTTCCGCTCCGGTCTTTGTGTGTCCGTTTCCACACACAGGTCTGCTCCGGACCTGGACCGTCCACGGGTTCGACCAACCGTGGAAACAGACACACACGGAGTGGAACAGATACAAGCGGAGAGAAGGAGAGACAGGTGAAGTGACCCTAAATTTACTTGGGTTAACAACAGCTCACTTTGGTCATTTTTTAGTTTTTAAGATGCCATTGTGGGCTAGTAGTTGTGATTTTTTTTTTTTAATTTGTTGTTGTTTCTATTACACAAAACTTCCTGGTTGTAAATGAAGGTGAAGGGACGAGGAAGGCGTTTGTTTTGATCTGAGATGCTGGTGCTCTGTAGTTCTGAATTGTTACACACAGAGCCTTGAGTTTAGTGCATGATGTGGGTTTCCATGCTCTTCAAGACTGCTCACAATTTCTCACATAATCAGTAAATGTAAAATGAGTGGCTGGGGGGATGTAGCCATATCATCCTGAACAGTCATATTCCTCACACAAGTAGGCCATGCTTTTATCTTAACTTGTTTGCACTTCTACAAACCTGCTGTTCAGCTATGAAATAATTGTAAGAGACAAGAACAAATTACACTCATTCTTAAGTTTTTTCATTTCGTGACTTTACTGTAAATAAGTGTTGAAATCAGTTTAACATTGTGCTGCACTTCAAAGGCATTAAATTGTAAAAATTATACTTATAATCTAGATATATTAGCTATTAGGTGTAGTACGCCCTGAAAATGTCATGCAGAGGTGTCCTGGTCTGCTGATTCTACGAGTTGCCTTCTTACCAAAGATGGAACTTTCTTCTTTTGGGCAAGTCAGGCCTGCCAAATCAGAATCAAGCTTTAAATTGTTTTTGAAAACACAATGCCATGTGAGGGCATTATTCTGTTCTTTTCAGGTCCTTCTTGAACCACACCTATTATTGCCATGTCCTACCTTTACTTCTTCTCATAACTTCCTGTATTATTGCATAATTTGCAGTATACTTTGGAATAGTACGCCTGTACAATATAAAGTCATGGCTGTATGCGGCGGTTACATCTGACAAATCAATTCTGCTCTTTTATTGTGCTCATCTCTTCCCTTCTCTCATCTCTTTAATTTCCATTTATCCATCTCTGCCTCCTCCATAACTCCTGCTTTGATCATCTTCAGCCAATGTGACACCCCTGCTTATGGATATGTGTGTGTTTAAAAAAAAAAATTTTTTATGTATGTTTGCATGTGTTTCTCTGTGTAGCTGCCGTCATTATCGAGTCCCTCTGAACTGGCATGAAACACTCCTCACTGTGATGATGCAGCTTCAAATGCTGACTGACACACACACACACACACGCACACACACACACACACACACACAGAGTCACAGAACTGTCTGTAGAAAGGCGTCAACGGGGTGTGTACCTGCACAGTCACAGTCAACTCCCCTCCTTGGTTCCAGACTCCATTAATCATTTAGAACGAGGATTTCCCTGAAGCCCTCTCTCTCCTCAGGCAGACACTGTGACATCAGGCTGACGAGGCCTCGGATGACACCGAGACACATTTATCAGACACACAAAAGATTTGTTTCAAAATCCCTTTGTTTTCATGAACATTCAAGTCTGAACACTTTTTTTTTTCATTGTTCTTTAATATCCACAAATCGGATATGTGGATCGGAGGCACTATTATTATCTTTGTGAGAGAGGAAGTCTGTGTTGTTGCTGAATGTTTTATATTCTGTACTCTGAGAGGTACAAGGTCCTGCTCCTTTTTATGGTATATTACATTGTGTTAGGGTTGATGTGCTGCTCTATAATAGCTTTGCCATTAAAAATCTATTTCTTAAAAAGAACATTTTTGAGTTTCAGCTCAAGGTTGTTTTATCTTGCCTCTGATCATTGTTTTAAAACCCATACCCCTCACCTTCTTAGGGAGGCTATTGTGTGTCAGATAGGTGCAACTTTGACGTAAATACCACAAGTGAAAGTGATGGAAAATATAGCTGGGGCGAAAATCTGCGAAATTATTCAGTTAATAAAAAACAGAGACATGAAGACTGGTGAAGTTTGTGTAAATTTAACAACATGCTTTTCTCTGCCAAACTCTTCACTGGGGCTTCCTGAGCTGGAGAAGGAATGGAAAATTTATTTCAGCTTTTCTGACCTTTTACAAATGCATGCACTCACGCACACACACACTCTCTGTGTTTATTCTGTTAACCCACAGAAACACCACATAAAACAAGCACATGCTGACTCATACCACAGGCACGCAAACGCTTCTTTAAGTGGCAGGTGCATTAGAGAAAAATATTATGGTGTGTATGCGTGTGCACGTGTGTCATGCTATGGGGACATAAATCTGTTTACACACTCAGACTGTGGGGACGTGCCTCCCTGTTGAGGATAAAAAGCAAATCCCCATAAGGGAAATTAGAGTTTAGGTTTAGGTTCGGAAAAGGACAAGGATAAGGCAAGTAGTGGTTATGATTTTAGCTACAACTTCGAGAAAATGGATGTAAGTTAATGTCCTCTGAAGTGATGGAATCGTGGCTGTGTGTGTGTTTCTGTGTAGGCCTGTCTCAAAGATCATCCGTCTGCATTCCAGGTAATTAAACTGGCCAGCAGCTGAGTCCCATTAGCCTTGATTACAGCATTCAGTGCTTCAGAGGAGAAGAGAAAGAAAAAGAAAGAGAGCTAAAGAGAGAAGGAAATGTGCGCGCAGCACCGTACACGCTGTTTTTAAGGCATTACTCCTGCTTTGTGTAGGTGTTGTGTGTGTAATCCTTGTGCATGGGTTTTATGTGTTATAGCCGTGCCTTGGCACTGGTTTTTTGCCTTGGGTCCTTTCAGTCTAATTTAAGGAACTCATGCATAAGTCCATAAACATGTGTTTTGTATTTTGTAGCATAATTCTTCAAAAATGTATTTTTCCTAATTGGCTTCTCACAGAGGAACCTCAGACATCATACCAGTCAGCCAAAATTGCAATCTGAAACCCAACATGGGTCACAGGCCTGTTTCTGGTGGATCCCCACAAGATAAGATAAGAAACAACATAGTTTTTCAGTTAGTCTAAATGCCACATTAGGCTGAAAGAGATTCGGTACGAAGCCATAGAGAAGAAACAACAACCACATAACCACAGGAAATGACACCACTTCTACTCAGCTGTTAGGAATCAGTCCCACACTCATCAGTTACATTTGTGTGGTCACTTTGAAGAATAAACAACCACACTGACAACAAAAAACACCACGACAGAATGTGACATCACAGTCAGGACAGGGTGTTGTTGTTTAGTCTATCTACATATCCATCCATCAACACTTCTATTTCAAATCACGCCCGAGAGAAATTATATAGCTCAACCTGTGAGGCCTTTTGATCCAGATTGAGCCATGGAAATGTTTATTTAATTCAAACAGGGTTTCTCTGTCTGTCTGCATGTCCACCTCCAGCCTCTCGTCCTTTCGCTCTGTGTGCATGTCTCTCTCCTCTATCTGTGTCTGATCCTCCCTGATGGTTTCAGTGTCTCAGGATTGGGTGATTGATTCCAGCTCTGGACGGCTGGCAGACAGGCAGCCAGCACGCTGGTGTGCAGCAGGGACTGCACTCTGCTCTGACTCTGTGATGAATTACTGGCCTTTTAATACACAGTAGAGACAGTGTGAGTGAAAAATGAGAAAGATGGGATGAGACGGGAAGAAGCCATTTTAAAATTGCAGTGCCACGTGAAAGAGTGGACAGTCGAGAGCAATGCAAAAGACAAAAAAAAAAAAGAAAGAAAATATTTAAACTTTTTATTTTTATTTTTTAAAAAGGAGGGAAACAGAAGCCAACATGTAAACTGAGTAATAGCTGCATGTGTGACTAATGTGAGAGCTATGTGTAGTGTAGTTCCCATTATCTAGAAAAGCCTCTCTTATGGCTTTAAATGAGTCATACAGAGTGTGAAGACAGCGTTGGAAGCCAGAGGGAGAAGAAAAAAATGTTCTGCCCATCATGAAATTGAATTAACCATTGAAACATAGTCTCTCACTTAGTCAAGAGTGATGCCATTTCTTTGAATCATCAGGGTTTCTTTGCCACTTCACAGCCACTAGAGATTTACAGAGTGGAAAGCAGCTTTTCTAGTTCTGAATATTTTCTAGTGTGCCATTGCTTGAAAAGCCTCCAACCTCAATTTTAATGACGCTTGAAAATTACCTCAATCCTTTAAAGGTTGGCTGAGGTAAACGACCTTTGTAGCTATTTAACCATAGCAGAAACTTGCAGTAGATATACAGAGTGCATGGATCAGCCTTAGTATTTTCTTTTTGCCTAATTGAAACATTGTTTTTTGATAGTTGAAGGGATGTGACAACCGTGATAAAGTACATGCCCTTTGGCATTATTGCATATTAAACCCAGTTCTCTGGAAATATTCAATCTGCAAATACGCAGGGAAAAAAATAACAAGCTATATGGCTCTTCTTGTACCGAACAGTGCAACAGTATACATCCACACAGTGTCCTTTAGGCAGCAGAAACATGGAACAATGCAACAATATTTCCATTAATAATACACTAAGATGTGGGTGGATAAATGCAAAGCTGAGTGATTTAGTATGTAGGTGGTGTTCTGAGACTTCTGTATCTGAAAGGACATACTGTACATCCCCTGTTCAGATGGCTAAAATGACATCTTACATAGACATTTTGTGCTCTGCCCACTGCATACACATAAACACATCTACATTGGAGGCAGCAGCAGCAGAACACCACTACCACTATGATAATATGAACTGACCAGACTAAATGATGAGGTAATCAGTATCCGCTGTTGATTTCACCGAGCCTCCAGTCATCATGAAGATGGAGAAAAGTGTATATCTCCATGGCTAATGAAACCCTGGGGATTTCAGGGTTTAGGGTTCATAAAGTATTTATGGTATGTTCATTAAGTATTGATTAAGCCGTTAGAGAGCGTTTAGACACCCAGACAATCATTATGAAAGATTAGAACTTGGCTTGAGGAAGAGGAAGATGAAGGGAGGCAGAAATGCAGATAGAGAAAGAGGTGGCCGTGAGAGATAAATGGAAATGAAGGAAAATAAAGATGAGAGTAATGTGAAGTAGAAAATGTAAGACATGGGGGAGAGAAAAG